ATATATATATATATATATATATATATATATAAATATTTTTTAAATATATACATGTATGTGTGTATATATGTATACATATAATAAATATACACAGTACACACATATATTACGTAAAAACAAACTTTTATTTTGGATGCGATTAATCGCAATTATTGCAAGTAAACTGACAAGTGATTACCCTTCAAAAACAGTTCACGAAAGTTCACAAACTTCCTGTTAGGCCTTGAATACAGGGTCAACTAATACTTTAATCTTTCTGTAACTATTCCAAACTATTATTCTAATCCATCAGGGACTTCTTAAACTTCTCAGCCTGCAACTAATTTCAGTTCCACATTACATTTAATATGCAGCACATTTGTGACCTGAGGGCAGCAGCTTAATGTGCCACAGCCTGAGCACCTCGCCACATCTGCTGTGGTCCTTCACATTAGCCGTGTAGGGTGAGAAAGAGCAGGCAGCGGCGGGCAGTCCACAAATCCCAGTCACATGCTGCTGACTGTGGCTTTGACAATAACTATGACATCAAGGTGACCCTCATAGCTGACTGCCTCATTACTGCCACCTCTGGGCCTGCCCCAACAACAGACAAATGGGGATAGTTTTACATCCGGCTAGTACAACAAATTGGTTGCTTGTATTTTTTATTTCAAAAGAATCTGTGCTTGCATAATAGACATTTCTCTGTCCTTAAGTATAAGTTTTATTGTAACCGACATAAAGGTCTCTGTAAGTTATTATTAAATACCGTGAAACACTTTTTTTGAAAGGCATTAATACTTTTATTCAGCATGGACCTATTAAATGTATTTAAAGTGGCAGTGAAGGCATTTATAATGTTATAAAATAATTATATTTTAAATAAATGCAGCTTTGAACTTTCTATTCATCAAAGAATCCTAAAACAAATGTATCAGTTTCCACAAAAATATAAAGCAGCACAACTGTTTTTAACATTGGTAATAAGAAAGCACCAAAATTCTAAATGCTGGGTAGATACAGAGATAGCTTTACATTATGTAAGATTAAGACAAAATTCAAAACAGTAACAAATTATAAATATTATGAAATGATATTCACAAATGGATACCTTTGCTGTTACATCACTTAGTAATTGTAAGCAACCTACAGTTACAGTATACCAATACCAGAAGTGTCAAAACAAAAACCTTGCTATTATATTCAATCCATGACTCACAAGTCTGAATCAGAGAAACGACTAACACTTACTAAACTACAAGCACCAAAAATACTGTTTGGCATATAGTTAGGTCTCATTAGGTCTCACACAACTCAAAAACACTAAAAGAACCATTAATGGAATACTTAAAGAATCAGAATCACATAATTGTTGACTGGAATCTGACTCAGAACCAGAATCATTACATTCCTTGCAAATACGATCCCTATTACTCATGTGAGCCAGAACAAAAGGCGGCGAGAATCTTCCCAGAGCTTTTGTCCCAGTAGGTTTCATTTACGCCATTCGCTAACAGCTCAGCACAGGGATCCGTTTCTGTAGGAGCGGGAAAAGATACCAAAGCTGACAAACTGAGACCTTATTTAGGCAATTACTTCTCTCCTACCAAAGCCAAAGACATTTGAGACGTTCTCAGAAGATCCTGAGAGAAACGTGGAACGTCCAGCTTTTCTTTCCATCAGTACACATAATCTTAAAGCCAAGCACAAACGATTTACCATCATGACTGAACAACAATCAAGTCCTCCTCTCTGCTCCCCCAAACCCCTCGCCTCAGTCTCGTCATGACTGCCTCCAATAAGTAATTACAATATAATCTGGCACAGCAACACAACACAGAGAAAACATCAGGCTTGAGCCACTGCCAGGGTTGAAAGCCCCTTGGCTAGAGAGCATGAAGGCTTTTGTGTGTGCAGGCTCATCCGCTTGTTTTGTTTATTAATGTGAACAAGTTCCCTTTGGAGAGTTAGGCTGTTATTAGCCTTCATTAAAATTTCGAAGAATTGGCTTGTCTGAGCCCTCTAAGGACATACCAATGAATCCTGACGCATTCAAACCTGTGGATGAAGAATCAGATTAACTTCAAACCTCTTCTTTTTTTTTCAATATGCTTTTAACCAATTTACTGTCAACAGATGGTATTACTCAGAGAATGTTCTGTTGCTGATTGCATGACAGTATAACTTGTAGCAGACAGATAGGGCTTAATTAATTTACTTAACGAAATAGCGTTTTAATGAAATATATGTTTTAAATACTATGTACAATACTATGCACGATCCTGTGATTATTGCTGGGGATTTTCAGTGATTTTTCTTGTATCTTAATGAGTAAGTCACTGATTCATTCAGCTATCGGATTAATTTGAAACACTGAATCATTTCAGAAACAAATCAAGTAACTCTTTAAGAGTGACTCAGTGAATCATCATTTAAAAATATTGGTTCATACAGGAAGTGACTGCCTAAATGTGAGTCATTGGATTGTTCACTCAACTGATTAGTTCAAAAGGAAAAAAGTTCAAAATTGAATCATTCAAGAAATGACTATTAAAAAGTATAATAGTAGGGAAGCATGCGATTTCAGATGTAGTCACTGAATCACTTAACCAACCGAGTCATTTAAGAAAAAAAAACACCAGTGTTGTGCAAAGATCCACAACAGTTTAATTTGCACTGACTTCACAGAAACTATTTTGTAGGCAATGCTAAAATAGATAGTAACTTGCAATTCAGTGTCTAAAATAAGTTAACGAATATTAATTTCTAGTTTATTAAACTGCTTTCTAAAAGCATGACTGAATCCCAGTACTCTTACCTTATTGCAAAATGGATCAACAAAGGGAATAAAATATTTTTAAAGCTACAGAAAAGAGAGAAATATGCCAGAGGAAAAAACATCTCCCTATTTTAGCATCAAACAGACAGTATTATGTTTTGCTTTGGGAACACCAAAAACTTTTTTGCTAAAGATGGAATTACACCTCAACTGAAACCCAGAAGCAATGATACAGATCAAAGAACTAAATCTGACGCCATGGATCTGCTGAAAAAAGTACAGATTTAATCTGTACCACAAAATGTTGTGTCTTCAGAGGTTGTAAGAATCTGCTTGCTAGCTAGCTGGGATTCTACTACTGAGAAAAGAGCAGGGACAAGACAAATAGGATGTTGTCAGAGGATCAGGGGAATGTCTCAGATTTATCTAGAGCAGTAATGTTAGAGAGAGGCAATTTGTTTAACAATGCTTCCAGGTTAGCACTACCTTGCCAAGGGATATTTAAAGTGTGTCCCACTTTGAAATGTGCATCCTATCTGAACCTCAACTTGCCTTCTGAGTTTTATTTTTTCATAAATTAGATTCTTCTCTCCAGACATGTTCTCATGAGGTTTGTGACATCCCTCACCACCTCATCTTTAACTCTTTCCCTGCCATTGACGAGTTATCACATCTTTTACAAGAAAACGCTTCCCCGCCAAAGACGAGTTTTTACGGCTTTCCGTGTTTTCACTGATA